CTTTGGTTACTGCCCCCATTCTAGATAATATAGAGATAATCAATCTATCCTTGGTAAATGGGTATGTACCACAAGATTTCAAGGTTGCTGTAATCAAACCTTCACTTAAGAAGCCTTCTCTGGATCCAGATGACCCAATGAATTAAAGACCAATATCTAACCTTCCATTTTTATTCAAAGTCCTGGAGAAAATAGCGGCCATCCAAGTGTGTGAGCATTTAAACACCAATGCTCTGTTTGAGGAATTTCTTTCTGGTTTTAGAGAGTATCACAGCACTGAAACTGCATTAGTGAGAGTTACAAATGATATTCTCATGGCCTCAGATAAGAATCTTGTGTCTGTTCTAGTCTTGTTAGATCTCAGTGCTGCTTTTGACACAGTAGATCACAATGTTCTTTTAGAAAGGCTTGAACATGTTGTAGGGATCAAAGGAACAGCGCTAGGCTGGTTTAAATCCTACCTGTCTGATAGATATCATTTTGTAATTATACATGATAAATATTCTTCATACTCCAGGGTTACTTGTGGAGTACCACAGGGTTCAGTGCTTGGACCAATTCTTTTTACTATGTATATGCTCCCAATTGGTAAAATCATTAGACAGCATGGGATAAACTTCCACTGTTATGCTGACGATACTCAGCTATATTTATCCATTAAACCTGATGAACCTAATCTGTTAGTTAGATTACAGGCTTGTCTTGAGGACATAAAAAATTGGATGACTCTAAACTTTTTGCTTTTAAATCAAGACAAGACGGAAGTTCTCATATTTGACCAGAAATCCAGAAAAGGAAATTGCTTAGTCAATCACCTGACCTGAATGGCATTAAATTAGTCTCCGAGAACAAAGTAAGGAACCTTGGTGTTATCTTTGACCAGGACATGTCATTCAAATCCCAGGTTAATCAGGTTTGTAGGATTTCCTTTTTCCACCTTCGAAATATTGCTAAGATTAGAAGCATTCTTTCCAGGAGTGATGCAGAAAAACTAGTTCATGCATTTATTACATCAAGACTGGATTGCTGTAATTCATTACTCTCGGGAAGTCCACAGAATGTAGTTAAAAGTCTTCAGCTTGTCCAAAATGTTCTGATGAGAATTAAAAAGAGAGATCATATCTCTCCTGTCAGCTTCCCTACATTGGCTACATTCAGAATAGATTTTAAGATCCCTCTTCTCACATATAAAGCTCTTAATAGTCAAGGTCCATCATACATCAGTGATCTGATTGTTCCATACGTTCCTAACCGAGCACTTCGCTCCCAGACTGCAGGTCTACTGGTGGTTCCCAGAATATCTAAAATTAAGATGGGAGGCAGATCTTTTAGTTATCCGGCTCCTCTCCTGTGGAACCAGCTCCCAGTCTTAGTCCGTGAGGCAGACACCTTGTCTACTTTTAAGAATAGGCTCAAAACATTTTTATTTGATAGGGCCTATGGTTAAAATCTGATGTTAGCCTAGATCTGGACAAGTGGGGGAGTAGAGGGAGGTGGAGTGTACAGTCGGTAAAGACGGCTCTCCCTTGCCCTGCCTCCAACATGCCCCCATCTAAAAGGCTAGGTTATCCAGAGTTATCTCTGTAGTTATGCTGCTATAGGCTTAGACTGCTGGAGGACACACTGACCACTTTCCACACTCTACTACTTTCTTCTTCAATTTGCTCTTTAACTGTATTATTTCCTGCTATTTCAGCTGTTAACTTTATTTTTTCTCTGTGTTTTTCTCCCCAGAAGAAGCTACAATGATGTTCTGCTGAGCTGTGGTGGCCTCATGGAGGGGGCCATCATCTAGCACACTGCTGCTAACCACTAAAACATTATCCCTATCCTGATAATAGCTTTTTGTTTCCTTGATGTTGGATGTGCTACTGCTAGTTTACCCGTTTAACAGTAGATTCACTAGGATGAATACAATAAAGTTTATCTCACCAAATAGAATATTTACTAAGAAATCACAGTGCAACCATGGACACATTGCTTGGTGTGTGTGTGTGTGTGTGTGTGTGTGTGTGTGTGTGTGTCTGCTCTGTCTTCTCTATCCCCAGTCAGTCGTGGAGGATGGCTGCTTATACTGAGCCAGGATCCTCTGGAGGTTTTTTCCTGTTAAAACAGAGTTTTCCTCTCCACTGTCGCTATATGCTTGCTTAGTATGAGGATCGCTGTAAAGTCACTGACACTAGTCAGTGACTTGATGCAATTTGCTGGGTTCCTTATATAGGAAACATTTTTTCTGATTGGCTTAATGAACTGACCTGAATTGGAATGTTTATTATGTGAAGTGCCTTGAGACGACTCTTGTTGTGATTTGGCGCTATATACATAAACTTGAATTGAATTGAATTGAATTCCAGCCACCCTTCAGATGAAGATCCAGCTTCTGGTTCCTTTGTTCCTCATCCAGCTGTCATGACCAGGAGAGGGTTTAGGGAAATCCAGACCAGTGTCTCTCTGCTCAGCTCCGTCCACACCACAACAGTACAGATCTTCATTGCTGCAAGTCCACCTGTCTCTCCTGCATCCCACCTGCACTCAGGAGACTCGGTTCCATTTCTGTTCCTGAACCATGAGCTCAGACTTGTTTTATAATTATAACAACAATTAACTGTTTTGTTTCTACAGCTGAACACCAAACAATGACCCGTAGAAGAACCTCATTCTGAATAAAAGCTCGCAGATGTCGTCTCCATGAATCAAGGGTGACTGAAACAGATTTGAGTGTGAAGATAGAGGAAGAAAATGGGACATGTGTGATGTGTTTGTCCTGTTTTAGACTGAATGTTTTCCCCTTTAGCCGCTCAGCCTTCCTCATCCTCCTCATCGTTCTGTCAGCAGCAGATTTAAGGAGTCTGAGTGGAATTTAAAGCTGTGATGATGTCGCCTCACCTCGCTCTGACTCACATCTGTCTGCACCGCCTAAGCACTCAGATTTATGGTTTCCATGTGCAGGAGAGGAAGAGTTTTAGTGTTTGAATCAACACCGGGTCACTGAGAAAGGCATCCTGGTCATCTCAACATGAGGGCGTTCCACTGGTGGTGCAGGAATAAAACTGCTGTGTTGATTTGAAACCTCCCACCTGCTGACCTGCGCTCTGATTGGTCAATGCTCCGTCCACGCGGCAGCACCTCAGCATTGGGTTATTGTTGCCGTGCCGCTGGTGGTGTGGCAAACATTTCAAACGGACCTGAAAATAGACCCAGCGTTCCCCGCAGGCTACTAATATCACCTGAAACTGGGCGACCTTGGCTGGCAGGGAATCAGCTCTGATCTCATACACTCACACGTACATGCACACACACATGCGTACACACACATATGCACACACACATGCACACACACACACACACACACATGCGCGCGCACACAAACACGTAAATGCATGCGCACACACACACAAACACACATGCACGCACACAAACACACACATAAGCGCACACGCACACACATACGCGCGCACGCGCACACACGCACGCACACACACACACATGCACAGCACACACACATGCACACACACACGTGCACACACACATGCATGCACGCACACACACATACGCGCACACACACACATGCATGCACGCATTTGCTAACACACACACACACATACATGCAATCGCACGCATGCACACACACACACACACACATGCGCGCGCACACAAACACGTAAATGCATGCGCACACACACACAAACACACATGCACGCACACAAACACACACATAAGCGCACACGCACACACACACACATACGCGCGCACACACGCACGCACACACACACACATGCACAGCACACACACATGCACACACACACGTGCACACACACATGCATGCACGCACACACACATACGCGCACACACACACATGCATGCACGCATTTGCTAACACACACACACACATACATGCAATCGCACGCATGCACACACACACACACACACACATACATACACACACATGCAATCGTACACACACGCACGCATGCGCGCACACACACACACGTGCACACACATACGCGAGCGCACACACACACACACACACACATGCAATCGTACACACACACACACACACGCACAAAGACACACACACACGTGAACTCTATGATCAGCTGATGTTTGTTTGTTTATGAAGCTGCTCGACTCCCTGAAGATCAACGCTGAATGACTTATTGTTTATTATTGTTCGAATGCAGCAGCTCTGAGTCATTTAAAGCATCTATTAAATCATTTCTGTTGTTAAGAACATTAAGTGTCTTTATCAGCACTTCCAGGAAATTTACTGTCTTCCGTTAATGGAATGAAACGACTCCCGATCTGCTGGGGGACCAATCTCCCGAGGCCTGAAGTGACCCCCGATGGGCCTAAAACCTGAATAAACACGGACAACCAGACAAACCTTCAGGATTTAGTCTCCAACATCAGTGTCTTCAACAAAACAGATTTTCTACCAGTTAGAAGATGTCTGCTAAGTGGAAGCTTATGTAACAGGATCAGTCAGGAATTTAAAGGCAAAGTCACGTCCAGGAGAAACTAAGCAGTAAACATCTCAAATAATTTAATTTAATTTATTTAGTTTGCGCAGAATCTGAGAGAGGAACAATAATGACGTAAGCTCATAAACTCAGGCTGTTTTCAAACCATTCTCAACATGAAGGAGGAATCTTTAAAAAGAGTTAAAGACTAAGTTTTATCAACTAGTTTCTGTTTTCATTATTATTATTTTTAGGGATTTTACAATAAAAAACAATCAGCAAAATAAACACCTGGGCCACACTGATAATGAAGATCTCTGCTTATGTCATTAATACAACCTCCCCTGAGGAGTGTGTGTGCTTGGTTGTTTGTCCTGTGTGTCTCAGTGTTGCCCTGTGGTGGGCTGGCGACCTGTCCAGGGTGTACCCCGCCTGCATGCCCAGAGGCTGCTGGAGATAGGCACCAACACCCAGGACCCTGCGAGGATCATCCATTCATCCATCCATCCATCCATCCATCCATCCATCCACTTGGACCATAAAAGGTCTAAAATCTTCGAGCCGCGCCTGATTCCACGCTTTAACCCGAGGAGAAGCTCCTCTGGCCGGTAGGAGCCTGTTGGGGTGTCCGGAAACACGAAGCAACCCGAGCGGACCCGAAGGGATCCGAGCCTCAACCTGCTGCTGCAGCACGCGCCTACCGCGCAAGCAGCAGACCCCGCGCGCACGAGTCTGAACCAGCAGCTTCATCACTCTTCATGTGACAAGTTTTTTTTTTCTGAAGAAGAGGAAAGAAAAGACAACCTCTGGGCGCTTTGAGGACGTTTACCTGAAGCGGTAACGAAAACAAGCCGTTGTTTCACTGACTGAACTAAGTCGGTTTAACTCGGATAATTAAGTGTCGGACCGGTCTTCGCAATGAGTCTGTGGACTAACGGCTCTGTCGTGGACCAGTACACCGATAACCCACCGCCGGAATCCAACTCCTCCAACCGGACCCACGAGGGCTCCCTGCGCCGCGGGCACCCGGGCTCCGCCGCCCCGCTGGACCTGAGCCGGGCGGTGCCGGTGGGCATGGTTCTGGCCTCCTTTATCACGTTCGCCATCGTGGGCAACATCCTGGTCATCCTGGCTGTGGTTTGTAACCGACACCTGCGGATACCGACCAACTACTTCATCATTAATCTGGCCATCGCGGACCTGCTGCTCAGCACCACGGTGCTGCCGGTGTCCGCTACCCTGGAGGTCAGTCCGCCCGCCGGGAACAAACCGGGAGTCGGTCATCAGGTCTTAACCTGCTGGTTCTGGTTCGGTTCTGACTGATTATAGCTGAGTCTGGACCGGCTTTCTTACTCTAGTCAAATATAAACAGGTTAAACTTTGGTCACGTGAACAGATTTAGCAAAAATAAACAAAAGCCTAAAAATATTAAGTGATTTTTCTACTGAATGTAGAGATTTTAAAGGTGTGAAACACTGAAACCAATTTTTAATGATTATTTCTGATCCTAACGGGTCTCTCTGAGTGTTTCATGCAGGCTGAACATAAAAAGTCTCCTACAAAGATCTGCAGTAGCTTCTGATAGAAAATAGTCTCCTACACCTACCTCCTGCAGTTGCTTCTGGTAGGAAACAGAGGGTGAAACTCTAGGAATAGAAGCGCCTGACAGATCTACGTCACACACACCAGGTGGAGTCTTAATTCCAGTGTTGCCTTGAGTTTCACCGTCTATTTTCTATCAGAAGCAGGAGATCGGTGTAGGAGACTATTTTATGTTCAGTCTGCATGAAACACTCAGAGCAGGGGTATTCAAGTCCGGTCCTTGAGGCCCAGTCTCCAGCACGTTTTAGTGGTTTCTCTGATCCACCTGTTCAGCAGCTCATCGGGCTCTGCAGAAGCCTGCTAATGACCTGCTGGATGCCGGTGTCGGTACAGGATCTGCTCGGGTGCAAGATCGGCTCGGGGTCCTTCAACTGCCGATGACGTCACAGTACGGCAAACCCACTCGGACCAAATAAACTACACATGTATACTGTTGGAAAGAATTTAGCAGTTTCGTTATTAAAATAATGTTTTTTAAGACGTAAGTTTGTGTTTATAAAGGTATTTGTAAAATAAAACACTATATTGTATTCATAATGTTGAACTCCTCTTTGAGCACATCCTTTGAAGGATCATAGGTATTAGCAACACCTGTGAAATTGTATTTGCAGGAAAGAAATGTGTCCCGTTTATTGAAGTATTTTGTGTTTAGTTTTTGACGTCTTGTCCATGCGTATAGTTACGCCCATAGCTGCTAGCCAAAACTCTGGAGTTAAAAGTTTTCTGGCTTTACTAAAATACCTGTCTGTACTTATTTGATTGATGGTAGTTTAACTTTCTATTAGAATCCAAATGTAATCATTTGGCACGTTTCTAATTCATAATTTGTAATAATGTTTTTGGCGATATTAGCATTAGCGTTCCTATGGGTTTTTCCATGTATATTAGCATTGCGCTAACCACTCGCTGCCAAATTGCAGCCTTTGCGATTAGAAAATCTCCTTTTGTCACATCGCAATTTAATTGCACATGCAGTTAATCGTTCAGCCCTAATATACATACAGCTCTATGCTAAAAGTGTATTTTCAAAGAGGTAATGATGGATTTCTTTGTAAAAGTTGTCCATCTTTCCAACAGAAAGATTCGCCTGGACCAACGTAAAGTGATTGCGTAATTCCATAAGGTTCATGTTCAGCCAATCAACTACTTAGATGTCATCGGCAGTCGATGGACCCCGAGCCAATTTTGCACCCGAGCAGATCTTGTACCGACACCGGACTTCCAGGCACAGAGCTGAATACCCCTGACTTAGACACACCCATTATAATCAGACCTAATTATTGAAACATGGATTTTCTGTGATCCGCACCTTTAAAAGTCAACAAGAATATAACGGCAACTTCAAAGCAAGATTATTTCTGAGGCTCTTATCTGGAGCCCTCCCACCCTTGAAGCAGCACACCTTTAATCTGTTGGATATACTCGAGGCTGTGTAATCTGGCATCTGCAGGTCTTGGACTACTGGGTCTTTGGTCGGATCTTCTGTGACATTTGGGCAGCGGTGGATGTCCTGTGCTGCACAGCGTCCATCATGTCTCTGTGCGTCATCTCCATCGACCGCTACATCGGTGTTCGGTACCCTCTGCAGTACCCCATGTACGTCACCAAGAGACGGGCACTGCTTGCCATGCTGGGCATCTGGATCCTCTCTTTCGTCATCTCCATCGGCCCGCTGCTAGGCTGGAAGGAACCGCCCTCCCAGGTATGGGGACGATACCCGGCATGCATGCACTGGGCTGTCGGATCAGCTGTTTCTGAACTCCGACTGGAGCTCAGATGATCCAGTTTTTAGTTACGGTTCCATCAGAAACGGCAGAGCTCAGAGAACCAGATCCTGTGGCGGTTTCTCTGATAACCGGTATCTGCTGACTTCCAGGGTTCCTTTAGCACTGACCTCTGGAATAGAAGGAGAATCCGGACGAGTTTTGGTTCTGTTTCATCTCAGGAGATGTAAAAGCAAGATAAACTTTACTTATAAAGCCCATTTCATGACAAGTGATTCAGTGTGCTTCACAATAATTCCACATTCATAGCAGCTAGCCTAGAACATCCATCCATCCATCCATCCATCCATCCATCCATCCATCCATCCATCCATCCATCCATCCATCCATCCATCCATCCATCCATCCATCCATCCATCCATCCATCCATCCATCCATCCATCCATCCATCCATCTTCAGCTGCTGATCTGGAGTCGGGTTGTGGGGGCAGCAGCCTAAGCCGAGAGGCTCAGACTTCCCTCTTCCCAGCTACTTGGGCCAGCTCCTCCAGGGGAATCTCAGGGCGTTCTCTGGCCACCCGAGTGACGGCGTCCCTCGGGTGTGTCCTGGGTCTTCCCCTGGGTCTCCTTAAGGGTTGGGCATTGTTTGAATTTGAACAATTCAGATTCCAATCCCTCATTTCGATTCCAGTTCCTATCGATTCCCGATTCTGATTCTTTCAAGAGGCAGGATCCCAAAACATCACGCTTTAAATGAGCCAGCTAACCACAGGTCCTAGTTGATGAAATTATCTGAACTTCAATATGGATTTTATTTCTATGAACAACAACATCACCTTCATTTAGACAAAACATGTTTTTGAGAAAGATAGAAAAAGACTTGCAGCACAGCCAGCTTGTTTGTTTCTGACCACGACCAAAGTCTTAGAGCTGAAGGAGCCTCTAGGTCAGGGGGTCAAACTCAAATTCACGCCGGGCCAAAATGAAAAAGTGGTACGAAGTCGCGGGCTAAACTCAATGCGTTTTTTAAAAGTGACGACAAATGTGCCCATTTTCCTTTATCTACAGATCTGTACAGTTGAACCTTTTCATTTAGAAACAAACTTATGTTTGCATCAACTCTGAATGTAGAATAACCAAGTTACACACGAGCAAGTCGATTATAACTAAAGCACTCATCAGTGATATTCGTTAGTTATGCCTCATTTTCTTTTTCTTTTTATTCCTTAAAATGTGTATAGAGCTCCGGACCCCACGTGACTCTCAGTTAGTAGACGCCATATTGGCAGGTAAAAGAAGCTAAACAAACACAGATCTTAACCATGAACATGAACGGAATCGGCTTGGATTTTACTTTGTCGGAGTTTACTTCACACTTTAAAACCGAAGAAATTGTTTTATATAGTCAGAAATTAAATAGACTAAACATCTCTGACCCTTACCGTGCCCCTGGGATACTTTTTAAAAACGCCAGAAGCTGTCGGAGCGGACTTCTTACTGGACCTGGCCGGCGGAGGAGCTGGCTCAGGCGGCTGGGGAGAGGGAAGTCTGGGACTCTCTACGCTACTGCCCGCTCCGACGCCAGAAGCTGTCAGAGCGGACTTCTTACCGGACCTGGCCGGGAAACCTCTTGGGATTTACCCGGAGGAGCTGGCTCAGGCGGCTGGGGAGAGGGAAGTCTGGGCCTCTCGACGCTACTGCCCCCGTAACCCGACTCTGGATACGCGGATGAAAATGGATGGATGGATGGACAAATAACAGATTTACACGTAAGTAGTTTAAATAGAGTGCTGTGCTGTTTGAATGTATAAACTGAACACCAAGAGAAATCACTAGTCTGATTTTTTTTCCGTGAATAAAATAAATATGTCAGGCAGGAGCGTCTCAGGATCTGTCTGAGAGCTGTCTCGGTGAGACAGATAATAGCAATCCAAAGTGCTTTTTATGTGTGATCTGACAATTGATCAACCATTGCTTAAAAATTAAATACAGCTCCACCTGTGATCATGAAACACGTAAACGGCAGCACGCAGAACTCACGAGGCAACGTTTTACGTGACGTTTACTTGTTGCTATTAGTAATAAGACAGAAAAAGCCACGCCAAAATAAGTTTAGGAAGCCCACTAAGAATCGTAATAAAAGCATTTAAAGTAAATACCATACACAGTTGAGGAAACGTTGGTTTAAGTACCTGATATGAAGCGGTCGCTGCATAAGTGAAACCTTTACTCTCGGGAACCCACAGTTTCATTTCAGCCCGGTCACTAGCGCGTTTTATTACAATCATCCAACGTTTGCGGCGCTCCAGATCTTGGGGAATCCTGTAGATGGCTCATTCCTTATGTCGTCCGTGTCTGTTCTGCATCCTGGGGCACAACAGGAATCTACCATATTTCCTGTCTGATTGAGTTTTCTGACAATAACAAATAGTCCAGCTGCCGGCTTCTACCTGCCAATATGGCGCCGTTTTGATTTGAACTGTTGCATGCCGGGAGAAGTGACGTCAACTCCCGGAGCTCTATTGCTGGGTTTCACTCACGTAACGTCTGCAGCTGTGCAAAACTCACAAGTGGACAGGAAGTGATACGACACACCGTGATGGATGAAAGCTACGAAGGCTTAAATGAGCTGGAACAGACGCGATATCACGAAAAAATACATCCTTTAGGTTATGACCCATAGAGTTTTGAAAGTCACACTTTTCATCCACTGTGGAGGATTTACCCAGCGCTGAAGCGATCAGCAACACAAACTCTAGCTGCCTTCCTCGTATCACACTGCAAACCAAACAAAATCCTTTTACTGGCCTGGAAGCCTGCAGCTGTTTTATTTCAGGTTGGTTCACCTGTTAGTGATCCGGAGAAGCTTTAAATGACTTAGGGTTGTCACGGTGTGAAATTTTAACCTCACGGCTATTGTGACCAAAATTACCACGGTTTTCTGTATTATCGCAGTATTTTTTTTAAACGTGTTACATTTTCAGACAACTAGATAAACCCTGTATATCAGAAAAATATTGTCCTCAGTTTGTGTCTAAATTTTGCCTAAAATGTGTTATTTTGTAATTATGTTTTTTATTTGTTTACATTTTTTCCCTTTAGACTTTAAAATATCAATATTTGCCCATAACTTCTTATTTTTTGCCTGTTTTATGTCATAATTTAAAAAATATTAGATCAGATGATACTCAGTACTAAAGTAGCTTTCTAATCAGATACTTTTTTACCCTAACTTGAGTAATAAACCCTATATCAGGAAAATATTGTCCTCGGTTTGTGTCCTTCCAGTGAGCTTTGCAGATGTGGGAAAATGTCATCAGGTAGTAATCATAGTTAAATTCATAATTATTCTCGGAGAGAGACCAACTCTTATCTGCCCTTGGAGCCCCGTAATGCATAGCGTCATTTCAACATGGCGGTGTCCGCGACACGGTTTGTATGCAGGTAGCGGCGCTGCGGATGCTTTATATGGCGACTCGTTGCATTCTCCCTCAACCCAAATCATCGGATCACGCATTTTAGCTAAAACGCTAACGTTAGCTTGCCTTGCGTTGACTGTAGAGTTGTGGGCGATGGTCACGCAGATGTGTCATGAGATTTGAAGCGTTGCTGCCTTTCACAGACACTTTTTCTGCACGTGCTGCAAACAGGATAGCCGTCTTCTATCAACTGTCCCTCGGCATTCTTCAAATATCCAAAAGATGCCCGTACTTCCCACTTTGTCTTCTTTGAGGGATAATAAATGTCCTGAGTGCTGCCGTCTCCTCCTTTGGCCATTATTTCAGCTTTAGCTTCAAGAAAGTTTTGGTTGTAAACAACAAAGCGCGCATGTGCTGCCCGCAACTTCAGCAGATGATACGGTGGCTGGTAAGGGTCACCGCGCCTACACCGCAGCCACGGTAATCCACCAAGATAATATTGTTTTTTAAAAAACAAGACGGTTATTATTTTTGTCAACTTTTTTACCAGGGTTTACCGCTACACCGGTTACCGTGACTACCCTAAAATGACTATCGTCTTGTTTTTGCTTGGGTGAGTAGTGAGTTGTGCTACTTTATTCATTAGCTTATGATAATAATGCTATCACTAACGCTCAGTATGTGCTAGGATCTACTTGTAAATAACTTTTTATTCCTTTTAAATCCAGATTTCTGGTCCGTTTGTTTGATTTTAATAAGGTATACACGCCACTTTACAACACTAAGCTAACCACTAAAAACATTAGCACCCTGAAAGAAAGAAAGAAAGAAAGAAAGAAAGAAAGAAAGAAAGAAAGAAAGAAAAAAAGAAAGAAAGCCAGCCAGCCTTTGTATAGCGCCTTCCACTTTTTTATTGGAGAACACCAGAGAGCTGCGTCCAGAGGGTTTATGTAACGAAGGTGAGTATCTAGGTGAGTAACAGAATCCAGAGAAGTTTCTGCACCAGTGAGGATCCAAATCCCGAGGCAAACGTGAGCATAACAAAATTACAAAAATCTATAAATTCCAAAATTCACAAGTCACAAAAAACACTAAATCACTGGAAGGCTGGAAAACTACTGAGTTGTAGTAATCATCCCGCGTCGAGGTGTGTTCTCCCACTCCTTAAGTAGCTGGAACCGCTGATTGTTAATCTGCCACAGCTGGAAGCCTCCCTCTCCTGAAACACTACTCAAAGCTAGAATGTTTGAGAGGAGTACTCACCCCAACTCATGACAATTAGACGGAAAAGCGTTGTTATTATAGAGCGGGGGCAAATGTTTGTGTGCGTCGGGGGTGGGGTGGGTTGTTGGGTTGGTTGGCTCCCGGTTAACCGGCTATTAGCCGTTAAGGGCGTCAATAACCCGTTTAAGACATTTAGGAAAACCCTAGTAGCAACCCAGCCAGATATGGTGGGCGGGTCCTATCGTGAAGGGCCCGGAAGACAAACAACAGAACCTTAAACTTTGCTCATCAGCAGTGAGGACACGTGAAAACAGTATAAAACTGTTAACCAATGG